GCTTGCCCTGTTTGAGCGGTGATACCCCAGATAGCTATGCCATGGAGCCCATTCCTATAATGAAAGACTGTGGGAAAGACTTTGGCTCCATGGCAATTGAACTGTATGTGTGTGCTCGGAGCGCCATTCAGTAATAATGTGCGCTCAACTCTGAGCTATCTGGGGATATGTTTTGTGCAATGGCTGCACAGTTATATGTTTTTATGTGTTTTATTGTCTTTTGCTGCCATGTGTTCAATGGAGTTTTGCTTCTGTCTTTGGAGATAATCGGATTACTTCCCAATTATCTCCAGGATAGAAGACTCTGTGGAACTGGTTTTGGGCAGAAAAGCCATGCTTCCTTTGGTCACAAAGGACTACGATCTATCTTTTGAACCACTGGACCAATTTGTATGATTTTGACATATGTTTGTATTTGGAGTATGCTGATTCTGAAAATGTGTGAATGTGATGCATACTTTTCAAGTTATGAATAATGTGGAAAAATTGTATTTCTCTGCTTGTTATAATTACATTACCCATTGTGTAAGGTAATTGTATCACAGGCAGAGGGGAGGATTTTGTGTGGGAGTGTCTGAGTGAATTGTATGTGTTTATTGGTTGTGTTCCAAAACCCTGTGGATGGTACTAATTGTTACAAAAGACTGAAACTAACTATGTTACTGTTTGCTAATCGATGGATACTGTTTGTCCCTGGCTAAGTTTAAAGCGAAAAGACGCACGAACGGATTATCCGAACCATTATAAAGGACTCATTCGTGGTACGAACAGGGGACCCCCCAGAATTGGCGTGTGCCGCCACTTAACCCCGTCACCCCGCGAACTGCCGAACGCTTGACCACCCAGCCAGCGGCGTGTGGCAGCCATTAACCACCCAGGCAGCTGCGGTTTGCGGTTAACCACAACGTAATTGATAAGCCTAGGGGCATCGACGTTCGCCTCTAAATACCGAACGGAATCCACCGAACTAACAACCGAACGACGACCCCCTACCGTGGGCCGCGTGGCGGTCATTAACGTGTGGTTTCTGCGGTTAACCGCAGGTCAAGTACCCTGCTACCAGGTGGCCCCATTCCCTTACCGAACGAGCCCCACTACCAGACAAACAGCGGGACTTCGCATGAACTGATACCGAGTTTATTTCCAGGAGTTAGACACGAAGTCCCGCTGCTCGCTAAATCAGCAGAAAACATGGCCGCCAACAAACACTCACAATCTCAAAATGCCGAACAGACTTTATACAGCAGGAACAGTCCATTCTGTTCGTGAGATTAGAGCGCCATTCGCCTGTTTTATCTATACGAACGTGAGCCTTCAGCTGAATGGTAGAATGAATGGTTTTCCTGTAATAATGTACAAGTTATGGATTTTTATGTAGTTTTCTGGGACATAATAAAACGTGGTCTTTTGTGCGCTTGGAGATAATTAGATTGTAAAACCGTTGGCCTCATTATCTCCAAGGTGGGCGGGTACTAATTCAAATGATACAGTGTACTGTGATTGGTTACCTGTTTGTACTGTACCTGTATTCCATCAGGTCCACAGGGGGCTGTCCTTGGACCTGAGGAATCACATAAATTGCCATGCTATGTGCCAGTAAAGCCAGTTCGTTTTGACCCTCTACTTGAAGCCTCGACTCATGTTGTAGGGATCCGGGATATTGATGATTATTTCGTGCTTGGGGATATTCTACACTTGCAGCTTGCTACCGAAAGACCTCCGTTCGACTCTCTACAGCGGGAACCAGGACATCCAAGCGATCAACCCACCTGCTAGACCGGGGGCAATCGTAACAATTGGTGGCAGCGGTGGGATCATCCTGGCATTCCTGAGAGAGATATATAAGACGGATGGAGAGCAACTACGATAAGCTGAAGCGTACCACACTAAAGGATTTACTGGAGAGCCGTGGGGGAAACGCAAGTAACCGCTGAGAAGGGAATTGATTGCTGACCTAAACGAGTTGGATCTAAGCTTCACTATGGCAGAACCGACGGTAACCCCCAGCGATGAAAAGACGAGGATTGTCCGGGAAAGGCTGCCTCTATACGGGCCGAACCCCTCCGTAGAGCTGGTGCAGCAACTGTTGGCAGAAGCCGAGGCGGACATACAGCGGGCACGAGCCCACAAGCTGAACCTGGTGACCGCACAGCAAGGGGGCACCGCTAATAGCCACACGGGCTCCCCGGAGACTACAGAACAGCCGAAAATTCCGTTTGCGGCATTCAAGCCGTTCGCGGAAAACGAGATGGGGATAGATGAATTTTTGGCAGATTTCGAAAGACAGTGTGCTCTGCATCAGATCCCCGTTTCAGCGTGGCCACGTATCCTGGCAGGAAAGTTAACCGGGCGGGCCATGGAAGCGTTCAGGACACTCAGCGCCGAAGAGGTAGCCCAGTATCCCACAGTAAAGGAGACGCTACTAAAGCGGTACGCTGTGACCCCAGACACTTACAGAAGGCAGTTCCGCAACACAAAGAAAAAAACGAATGACACACATGCCGAATGGGCACACCGCATGCGGAGAGCTGCTACCCACTGGATTACCGGGTGTCGGGCCGTCACAGCCACGGAAATATTGGAACTTTTCTTGTTAGAACATTTTTATGAGGGTCTGAAACAAAAAGACCGGGAGTGGTTGAAGGACCGGCGTCCCGCTAACCTACACGAAGCAGCCCGGTTGGCAGACGAACACCGGGATGCGCAAGTATAGGAGTTCAGTACTGCCCGAACAGTAACTCGCCCCGAAGCAAGAGAGGGGTACCGACCATCTCCACGAACGGAGTTTCGCAACCCTGTACCCGCAGGTCCTACACGGTACACGGGGCCACCCAACCACTACCCTCAGGAACGCTCCCGACCCACATGTTATAAGTGCAAGCAACCGGGGCACCTGATAGCGAGTTGCCCCCTCAACAACAATTACCCCGCACGGAACTATAACTCCTCTCCAATGGGAAACAATCGTCCCGCTCGAGCGTTTTGCCTGGAACAAGACAGCCCTTTAGAAGAGTACCTGGGACCCCTACATGAAGCTAATCCTGTGTATGCCGCCAGTGACAATAGACAACACCACCGGCAAGAGGTACTGCTAGAGGGTCGTCCCACACAGGGGTTAAGAGACACCGGGGCCACGATCACCTTAGTACAAAGCCGGTTAGTTCCCGAATACAAACGCTCTCCTGACACAGTGGCTGTCCGGGTGGCTGGCGGGGACATATACAAACTACCCACAGCAAAGGTACACTTGGATTGGGGTGCGGGAAAAGGACTTGTGAGGGTGGGAATTATGGATAATTTGCCAGCCGAAGTTTTGCTGGGAAACGACCTGGGACCTATGACTTCAGCTTATGCCCCTTCTTACAACGCTGAGGCACATCCCGTGACGACCCGGTCACAAGCAGGACGAGTACGAGACCCTTCACCAGTGCGGGAGGCTCAGGTAAGACTTAACCCGACTGTGACCATCCCTCCTACCCCTTTGCCCTGGGACACCCCTGCAGCCTTTGAGGCTGAGACCAAAACTGATCCGACGCTCCAAAAATATAGGGAACGGGCTGACACAGGGGCTGGGGGACCAGACCAGGAGACTTTTGCATGGGAACTGGGCCGACTGTACCGACACACAGAGAAAAAGGGCCACCGGAGGAGGCAGTTAGTAATACCCCACAAGTATAGGCGGGATATCCTCCGGGTGCGTCATGATATTCCCTTAGCCGGGCACCTGGCAGTAACCCGTACCCTGCACCGTATTACCCATACCTTGTTCTGGCCAGGAGTACATGCCGATGTAAGGTCCTATTGTAATACGTGTGAGGTATGCCAACGGGTAGGCAAACGAGGAGACCACCCCAAGGCACACCTCGTGAACATGCCCATTATCGACGAGCCGTTTAGCCGGGTAGCCATCGACTTAGTCGGGCCCCTAGCTACCCCTAGTCCCTCTGGCAAGAGATACATTCTTACCATAGTGGATTACGCTACCCGCTACCCAGAAGCTGTGGCTTTATCTAATATCCAGGCTGACACAGTGGCTAATGCCTTAGTACAGGTATTCTCTCGAGTAGGATTCCCTAGGGAGATCCTATCCGACAGAGGATCACAGTTCACGGCAGAGCTGACCCAGCAGCTATGGCACGTTTGTAAAATAAAGTCCCTGCTTAGCTCTCCGTACCACCCCCAGACCAATGGGTTATGTGAGCGGTTCAACGGAACCCTCAAGCAGATGTTAAAAACCTTTACTCAGGAGTATAGGGACTGGGAACGGTTCCTGCCGCACCTCTTGTTCGCTTACCGGGAAGTGCCCCAGGAAACCACCGGGTTCTCTCCCTTTGAGCTGTTATACGGTCGCAAGGTACGGGGTCCCCTGAACCTGATCCGTGAGCACTGGGAGGGAGAGACCGAGAACGCCGGGGTCCCCATCGTGCCTTACGTACTGGAACTCCGGGACCGAATGGAGCAATTGGCTAAGTCAGTCCAGGCCAATCTCCAGGCGGCCCAGGGGTGACAGAAAGTCTGGTATGACCGGGGGGCACGACGAAGAAGCTTCTGTCTCGGGCAGAAAGTCATGGTACTAAAACCAGTTAAGGCAGACAAGCTACAGGCAGCCTGGCAGGGTCCCTACCAGATAGTGGAAAAGAGAGGGGACACCACTTATGTAATTGCCAGCTGTCACGATGAAAACTTAAGAAAGATCTTTCACGTGAACATGCTGAAGGAATACTTGCAGAGACCCGAGGAAGTGTCAGCCATATGTAGCCCTGCGCACGAGGACACAGATAGTCTCCCCATACCCGACTTATTAACCCTAAATCCCCGGCTGAAATAGTGAGCCAAGTACAGATTGGGGACAGACTTAGCCCAGTTGAGAGGGAGCAGCTACACAAACTTCTCCGAGAGAAACAAGCCATGTTCTCCCAAGAACCAGGGTACACTGAGCTGACCATGCACCAAGTAGATACCCCCGGCCAAAACCCCTTGAGACAGGCGCCCTACCGAATTCCAGAGGCAGTAAGGACAGGCATGAAAAGAGAAATAGATGAGATGCTGCGTCTAGGGGTCATTGAAGCTTCCGATAGCCCCTGGGCATCCCCGGTGGTTCTGGTCCCCAAAAAGGATGGCACCACCAGATTCTGTGTGGACTACCGTAAACTCAATGACAAAACTGTCACCGATGCCTACCCCATGCCCAGAGTGGATGAGCTGCTAGATCGCATAGCCAGGGGGAACTACCTAACTACCATTGACCTCTGTAAGGGTTACTGGCAAATTCCCCTGGCCAGGGAGGCTGTCCCCAAGTCGGCCTTCGTCACCCCGTTCGGTTTGTACCACTTTAAGGTCATGCCGTTCGGGATGAAGAATGCCCCTGCTACATTCCAACGCTTGGTGGACAGACTCCTTGATGGCTTCCAGGAGTTTGCCTGCGCATATCTGGACGACATAGCGATCCATAGTGAGACCTGGGAGGAACACTTGGCTCATGTGGGAATAGTTCTGGACCAGATTCGAGCCGCCGGCCTGACGCTAAAGCCAGAAAAATGCCACTTTGAAATGGCTGAGGTGCAGTACCTGGGCCACCGGGTAGGCTGTGGGAAGCAACGTCCGGAGCCAGCTAAAATAGAAGCGGTCGCCAACTGGCCCACTCCACACACTAAGACCCAAGTGCTAGCCTTCCTGGGTACCGCTGGGTACTACCGAAGATTTGTACCAGAGTATAGCGCCATTGCCAAACCCCTGACTGACCTGACGAAGAAAAACCTTCCCCGACAGGTCCTGTGGTCTCCCCACTGTGAAACTGCTTTCCAAGCCCTCAAAACTGCGTTGATTAATGCTCCTTTCTTGGCTGCCCCAGCCCCTAATCGACGTTTTATTGTCCATACAGACGCTTCCATGTTCGGGCTGGGAGCTGTCCTCAGCCAAGTAGGAGATGATGGGAAGGAACATCCGATTTCCTACATCAGTCGAAAACTCCTGCCACGCGAAGTCAGTTACGCTGCAGTAGAAAAGGAGTGTTTGGCGCTGGTGTGGGCATTAAAGAAGTTAACCCCCTACTTATATGGACAAGAGTTCACTCTGGTTACAGACCATAACCCGCTAGTGTGGCTCAACCGGGTCGCTGGGGACAATGGCAGATTGTTACGCTGGAGCTTATCCCTGCAACCCTTTAATTTTACAATCACCTACCGACCCGGGAAGCAGAACGGCAATGCCGACGGATTATCCCGGCAAACAGATCTCAGCCCAGCATAACTCTACGAGTCTGGACAGCCTTAGTCCGCCCCGAAAAGGGGTCAGACGCTGTCTGCCAGAGTGTTCCACAAAGAGGGAGCATTGTTACAAAAGACTGAAACTAACTATGTTACTGTTTGCTAATCGATGGATACTGTTTGTCCCTGGCTAAGTTTAAAGCGAAAAGACGCACGAACGGATTATCCGAACCATTATAAAGGACTCATTCGTGGTACGAACAGGGGACCCCCCAGAATTGGCGTGTGCCGCCACTTAACCCCGTCACCCCGCGAACTGCCGAACGCTCGACCACCCAGCCAGCGGCGTGTGGCAGCCATTAACCACCCAGGCAGCTGCGGTTTGCGGTTAACCACAACGTAATTGATAAGCCTGGGGGCATCGACGTTCGCCTCTAAATACCGAACGGAATCCACCGAACTAACAACTGAACGACGACCCCCTACCGTGGGCCGCGTGGCGGTCATTAACGTGTGGTTTCTGCGGTTAACCGCAGGTCAAGTACCCTGCTACCAGGTGGCCCCATTCCCTTACCGAACGAGCCCCACTACCAGACAAACAGCGGGACTTCGCATGAACTGATACAGAGTTTATTTCCAGGAGTTAGACACGAAGTCCCGCTGCTCGCTAAATCAGCAGAAAACATGGCCGCCAACAAACACTCACAATCTCAAAATGCCGAACGGACTTTATACAGCAGGAACAGTCCATTCTGTTCGTGAGATTAGAGCGCCATTCGCCTGTTTTATCTATACGAACGCGAGCCTTCAGCTGAATGGTAGAATGAATGGTTTTCCTGTAATAATGTACAAGTTATGGATTTTTATGTAGTTTTCTGGGACATAATAAAACGTGGTCTTTGGTGCGCTTGGAGATAATTAGATTGTAAAACCGTTGGCCTCATTATCTCCAAGCTGGGCGGGTACTAATTCAAATGATACAGTGTACTGTGATTGGTTACCTGTTTGTACTGTACCTGTATTCCATCAGGTCCACAGGGGGCTGTCCTTGGACCTGAGGAATCACATAAATTGCCATGCTATGTGCCAGTAAAGCCAGTTCGTTTTGACCCTCTACTTGAAGCCTCGACTCATGTTGTAGGGATCCGGGATATTGATGATTATTTCGTGCTTGGGGATATTCTACACTTGCAGCTTGCTACCGAAAGACCTCCGTTCGACTCTCTACAGCGGGAACCAGGACATCCAAGCGATCAACCCTCCTGCTAGACTGGGGGCAATCGTAACAATTGGTGGCAGCGGTGGGATCATCCTGGCATTCCTGAGAGAGATATATAAGACGGATGGAGAGCAACTACGATAAGCTGAAGCGTACCACACTAAAGGATTTACTGGAGAGCCGTGGGGGAAACGCAAGTAACCGGCCGAGAAGGGAATTGATTGCCGACCTAAACGAGTTGGATCTAAGCTTCACTATGGCAGAACCGACGGTAACCCCCAGCGATGAAAAGACGAGGATTGTCCGGGAAAGGCTGCCTCTATACTTGAAGCCTCGACTCATGTTGTAGGGATCCGGGATATTGATGATTATTTCGTGCTTGGGGATATTCTACACTTGCAGCTTGCTACCGAAAGACCTCCGTTCGACTCTCTACAGCGGGAACCAGGACATCCAAGCGATCAACCCTCCTGCTAGACCGGGGGCAATCGTAACACTAATGTGTAAGAATGTGTACATAAGCACAATAAACCCACAGCTCTGGCTGTTCCTGCTTGACTCTCAAAACGGAGCCTTGTCTCGTTCTTGGGGGGATTTACTGTATGCTGTTAGAGACTGATTGCCAGGAGTGTAAGCCGCTTGGGTGCTTTTCCTGTTCAGCTGCTAGCAGCTATTCGTGAGGTTCCAGTTCGGGAGTTTGGAGCATTCCCTTGAATCCAGTTTGGGAGTTTGGTGTTCTGCAGTAGCTGTGCCTGTGTCTCTGGAAGGGAAGATCTACTAAACGGCAGTTTAACCCTTTTATGCTGAGGGTGCCGTTACAATAAGTGATCCAGAGGAAGGCGAAAAAACTTGCACATACCATTATTAATATTAAATATGTGCAATCAAAAAATTCCTCCCTGACCCCATATCAAGGCAATCGGCTGCAAATCTGTCCCTGGATCTGTATTAAATTTATCTCATATATCATTTATCATCAATCCATCATTGCATACATTACCATCCTCTTCAAATCCTGTTTAGGTCCATGTGACAGTAATACAGCTTGACAGACGTCATGGTGGGAAACCAAAGACATTGAAATATTAATATTGTCCTATATTAAACTAAAAGTCTCAGTTGTTCTGATAATTGATATAAAATCCGAGGAGTACCCGTTTACGATGTAATCCCAGCTGAACACTGACTGGCTTCAGAAGGTTCAAGCCTTTGTTATCTGCCCTCAGTCTATTATGATGTAAGATGCATGACATCACTGCAACCTTATAAGGTAAATGGGCTCAGCAAATGGCTTGGAATATTTATCTTTAAATGGATATCCATTGATACAGTTTGTACATAAAAATAAAACCATACAGAGAGAATTATTAGTATATTTTGTTATTTTTATGTTGTTATTTTATATTCACTGTGATAATTTAGTTCAAATTACCCTGATTGTTTTAAATGTTTTTTTTTGTTTTAAATAGGAACACTGCTATAAGTATTTAAAGATAAATAGCTGCAACTATCCAAATATAAACCAAAGATAATCATTTATAGTTTATAATGTCTGCCCACTGTGGGACTTCCATAGCGTAAATTAATATATTTATTACGATTCCCTAACTGAATCAGTTCTTTACAATTTTCTGTGACAACCCATCTAATTCACAAGACTTCCAGGTGATTTTATGTAAAAATGGCATATATTAAATACATGTACTTTGTATGTAATATAATGCCCTAACTAAAGGAGATGTTAAATAACATTAAGAATAAGTAAAAAAAAATAGACTATTTTACGTTTTCTTGAATGATAACCGTCACTCGTAAATTACATCACTGAAAATCACCTATAACTTGTGTTAAACTTTGTATTACATTTATAACAATGATATACATTGCCAAGATGGAGGTGTCAATTTCCAGGATAGATTTACATACAGCGGTTTGGATTTGAACATTCAATGCTATTTGCCTCACAAACACACCATTTTTAAATAAAGTGAATAAGTAATTATATTGTTAAATATCCTTGTGAGAGCTCCCCATTAATGAGCAATTTTGATTTGCAGATTTGTTAAAGGAACACTCTGGGTGTGTCAGTGAATGTGTGTGTGTCTGTCAGTGAGTGTGTATCTGAGCGTGTGTTGGTGTGTCAGTGTGTGTCTGTCAGTGAGAAGGTGTTTCTGTCAATGAAAGTGTGTGTTGATAAAACAGTGTGTGTGCCAATGAGCGTGTGTCTGTCAGTGAGTGGATCTCAAGGTATGTATATCATGTGTATCAATGAGAGCGTATGTCTGTCAGTGAAAGTGTGTGTTGGTTTAACAGTGTGTGTGCGCGAATGAGCATGTGATGGGTCAGTGAGAGTGTGTGTGCTTAAAAGGATGAACATGTTTAATTAAAAAATAGTTTCAGTCAATTCATGTGATTTGAAGTAATATGTATATATGTGTGTATGTTTGTGCATGCACACTGTATATCTACACAGGTATCTATTTTTAATAAATGTGTATTATGTTAAAGTGTATATAAAATAAATGTATATTATAGAGCACGACTGCACAACATGTGCCCCCCAGATGTTTTGAACTACAACTCCCATGATTCCCTGGCTATCTGTTTCATTCATGAATCATGGCGTTGTAGTTCAAAATATCTGGGAGGCTGAAGGTTTTGCAGGCCTATTATAAAGCATTCAATTCTATATTTACATTGTGCTAGCAGAAATGCTAGTATATATATATATATATATATATATATATATATATATTCCCACTCCTATAACTTATAACAGGAATTTGTTGAAAAGAGGAGGGAATGGAAGTATCTT